CTGACTTTTGTATTTTATATAACCTTCTTCCTTTTTTATCTTCATTCCACCTTTTTTTTTTGCCATTTTTCAATTTCTTTTTAATAAATGATTTTCCTTCCCCTTTCCCTAAAGGAATTGTAATTGTTATTGCCTCCTCTAAAGCCCTTTTTGCTAATTTGTCTGCCTTTTCATTTCCTTTTACCCCTTCATGTGCTGGAACCCAACAAAACCAAATATCAATGCCACTCCTGTATAATCTAAATAAACTGCTGAATTTCTAATACTAAATCTTTCCTATTATTTCCTTCTCCCTGAATACTTTCTAAAACTGCTTTGGAATCCATGCATACCACCAACCTGTCTGGTCTGACCTCATCAACCCATTGGAAACTCAGTATAACTGCCACCATCTCTGCTGTGAAAACAGATAGTTAATCTGAAATTGTTTTAGAAATGTGTATTTTGAACTCTGGTACATATATTCCTATTCCCACACACCCTTTTAAATTCTTAGAACCATCAGCATATATTTTAAGGTAATTATAATATGAGTTTGCTTGTTGGAATCATTAACTGCTTAAAAAAAATATATTTTTATTATTATTACTATGCTACAAACATCTTTGTCCTCTCCAGGAAAACGTTGGAGGATTGTTTATTATTATGGTTGAACTGTAATTTATGGACTTCTATGTTCTATCTGTATATTTTTTTAACCCTAACCCTAACCCTACACCTAACCCTAACTAGACAGTTAGTTAGGAGTTAAGCTTTCCTTCTTCCTTTAGTGCACCAGTAATGGCCTTATTTACAGAACAAAAGCGCCTGTTCACACCTGCCTATAGGATGTTAATTAAAATCCTTCAGGTCAGTCGACCAGTCTCTGGTATCCAAAGGTAGAAATGTTAAATGACCCTTCTCTGGTAATTCTAGTGTTAAGAGAAAATAGTCACTGACCTGTTCTTGAGTGGAGCTGAAGCCAGCCGAGGCCGAGGGGCAACAGAATCCTGAAGGGAATGTCCAAAGCCGAAGCAGAACCAAGTTCACAGACCAGAGGATCAGAAACCCGATGAGGTGCAGAAGGGGAATCCAAGCCGATGTCAGAAAAACAGTCCAAGTTTGGTGAGCCAGGTGAATCCAGGAATCAGTCCAGAACAGAGCAGATTAAAGAGCAGACTAGGGCAAAGCAAAACTCAGGATCCACAGGACAGAAACAGGTCACATTTAGATAATCAGAAAAACAAACAGAAGGCTAGAGTTACTCACACAAAACAGCTTGAATATTCTGGCACTGGTAGCTGGAAAACACACAGCATATATAGGAGCTGAAAACAGGTGGATCAGATAAGCAGTAATGAGAAAACGGGCAGAGTTAAACAGGTGAGTGGAATGAGCAATCAGGCCAGCCACCAGTGCCAGGATCATGACAGTGAGTGTTGGAGAGTGAGCCAGGTTCCATCAGTAATGTTTCAGACAACTTTTGACAGACATATGTTGTGATTTTATGTTCAATACAATTTTGTTTATGATACTTTAAGATGTTTATTGCCCTCCCCGGTAGTGGTTGTTTAGTTTTTCATTTAATCAGATATTATTTCGGCTGTTGTATACTGTTTATGAACACACGCCCTACTAGCTGTGTGTTAGAACATTAAATGAAAGAGTGATTAGAGCTCTAATCATGGTCAAACAGTTAATTTTGCACATACATGGAATAAATTCACAACAACTTCTGTTCAACAACAACAAAAAAAATCATTCAGTTCCAAATCAAACATATTTCAGTCAGCTAAGACTAGTGAAACTCAACTAAACTAAACTACTATGTACAAAGAGGAAGTGAAATATGGTTGAAAACCATATTATAGTTTAAGATGTATCTTGTGTTTCAAAACCAAAGTTTATCTGGAAGAATTTGGGATAAGATCAATTAAGCTTTTCACCAATTTAAAGAAAATTGAATGTATTCAGACCAATTCACAATGCAAGTCCATGAGGTGAATAAAACATTATTTGGCCAAATAATGTTTTATTAAATGATTTGCTTAATCAGGAACCTTTAGTTAAATGATCCTTTACCCTTGTTGGGATATATTGCCCAGAATGGAGCTTTAATCACAGACCAATCAGCCGATACTCCGTCAGGAAGTGCTCCCACGTCATTCATGGCACAGACCAATTAGCCGATACTCCGACAGGAAGTGACGGTACGACACTCATGGCTTAAAATTCGGTGCGCGCAGATCTTCTCTTACTTTTTCCATGGGTGTGGAGCCCGCCAGGAGAGACTCGTTTCACGTGAAATACCAGAAGAAAGCTTACTGGAAGTAGCTTTCGTTTTCCTGCGTCAAAAGTCACGGATTGCAGTGTTTCCATCGTGCATAGCGGCTGTGCCAACTGGGGAGACAGAAGCCATTGAAGCTGACCGCGGAGTGAATTTCGTTTTCCCCTTTCTTTGGACGGATCGCCTGGGAGGACGCTCCTCGCCGATTACTTCCCCAAAATCCATCCTCTTCAACTCGTGAGCATATCAAGCCCTCTGCTGTAGCACCAAACTGACTGAACTTTCCCGAGGGGCGGACTGGTGCCGGGAAACCCTCTGCGCGCCGAAACCAAGCCACGGTTCCCTTGGAAACGCCAGCCTTCCACAGACGGGAAGCAGCTCACAGTAAAATAAATTTCCTTTCCCTTTTGATGCATTCTAGAAGTGCTGCGCTCCGGCGAGAGACAGGCAGATTCAGGGGTTTGAATTAATGCTGATGTTTTTTTTTAATCTGTGCTGATTAAGAGTTTGTTCATTTGGTTGAAATAAGTGTGTGTTCTTTGTTCTCTTTTCTGTGCTTTCCTGTCCTCTTGTTGTTTCTGCTTTGAGATAGTTATAAAGTTATCACAATCAGCCACGTGTGATCCCGTGGTTGCAGCCATCTTGATTACAGATTGTTCATCCCCCCATTTCTCTTTGTTCCTCTCACCATAAGGAGAACAAAGGGTGGGGTCCCTCATTTAGCTACACCCATTCACACACACAGCTACATTGTCTGGCAAGGTGTTTTGCTAAACGATTTCTGCTGCTATTGTTAATAAATTTTTAATCATTTTACCAATATTAAGCTGGATGTGTTAATGTTACATGATCACTTGCACTGTTACCATCATGTCTGCTGCTGTTTGTTATTGCATTTAATAATTCGCCAATTTTAAGATGGATATATTAGCTTTACATGAGTAATTGCACTGTTATCATCATACCTGCTGCTAACAGACATAAGTGAATGTATTAATATCTGGCATATTTTGGATAATCTCAGACGCCAGTAAACGGACTCTTATGGTTTTATTTCTTTGTTTTCTATCTCGTTTTATTCTTTATTTTCGATTTTTTTTTTAACTAGTGATTTAATCTACCTCGTGTTTATTTTTCTAGTAGCGTGTAGTGTTTGCATAGATGTTAGATTTTCTGTAATCCTGAATTATTAGAATAAAGACATCATTGGTTAATCTGTAGTGGTTTTGGTCATTCATTCATCCACCCCTTTGGTAATAGTGTGAATAAACAGAGATAGAAGGTTCTTTATTGATAATTTAATAG